GTACACCGGAAAAGTACAAGTGCACCGAGGCCGAAAAACGATCCGGGCTATGTAGGTTGCTAAAAATACAAATGGCGTTCGGGGTGTCCTACTGCGGCAACTGTCCCATATTCAACAATTACGTACTTAAAAAAGCGATCCTGATCAGTTACGATGTCATAGTGATCGTGTCGTTCGGTCTGTTCGAGTACTTCGCCTTTTCGGACGACGTGTTTGTCCGGCTGTTCAGTAAGACCACGAATAAGGGGGTGATGTCTATACTGTTCCGCTTCTCCGCCCTCTCGATGGCCATCGAGTTCTTCGCCATCAAAGGACTGCTGCTGAAGAATGGCTGGGATCTCATCAAAGCCATCAGGAATACCGGTATTTAATAGCTTTTGTTTTGGAAAATATTTTTAATTTTTAAAATGAGCTAGGTTGAATAATTTTTATGCTGTTTAAAAATTATTTATTCATGTGTGTTTTATTTGTTTTGATTAGTATGCCCGCTAGGTTAATTAGTTTGTATTGTTAACTAATGCATAATTAAATAAATACAAAATAATATAGTATTATAGTATTGTCACACGAATGTTAAACAATAACCATTTTATTAATTCAATGTTAATTAAAAATAAACTTAACTTTATGTATAACTTTATATAATTTAATTTATATAATTTTATATAATTTATATAATTTATATAACTTAATATAACTTAATAATATAATTTAATTATATAAATATACTTAACTTTATATAACCCACAATCTACAATTTTTAAATTCTGAACATTTTAGTAAAATTAATAAAAAATTTATTATACCACCTAGGCACAATGAGCGTATCACGTTTCCAGACGCACATGATCGACTTGTTCCTGGCTACAATGGCCATTATGTGCGCGTTTCAATTGCCCATAAACTTCACATCGCTGGACAAGTCGTTGACGAATGTCTACAGCGAAGAGAAACTCAAGACAATCGGCTTCTTCATCGTCGGCCTCTTCTATTCGATGAACAAGTTTTCGGTCACTTCGTTGATGCTGTTCACGGCGTTCGCCATCCAGAAGCTCATAAGCGGTCGGTGCCTCACATTTTTGAGTTAATTTTGTTAAAATTGTACTGGATAAAAATATAATTTATTCTCGCGCTTTTCTTAAACCAATATTTAATTATTCACTCTAAATATAGTGCGATTATATTGGCTTTTATTATTATTTTACAGTTTTGACACTAATATAAGGTTTTATTTTTAATTGCCATTTAACTGCTATTTTTTGGCTATCATATTGTAATTAATAAAGTCATAAATTAAAAATTTCTAAAAATATCAAATATTATTAAGCCATTATCCATTAGTATGAGCCTGAGGACCCATTAGTATTAATTAAAATTTAAAATATAAAAATATATAGATTGTAACGATTTCAAAGTTACAGTTTTCGAAATCATAAATAACAATTAAATGTTATATATAATAATTAATTAAAAAACTAACATGTTACATTTGATCTAGACTGGACCAATGGCCTCAAACGTAACAACATCAAGATCCAGGTCCTATGCGAGAACATACTGTCCCTGCGTACCCAACTGGAGATCATCAACGAGCTGATGGGCATAATCATGTTGATCAAGGTATTCGTGAACGCCATGTTCATGTCATCGGCGGTATGCACGATGTCTGTGGGCTTTATACCGGCCAACGCCATTGTAGGCATATCCGGGTTCACCATCACCTCAGTGGTGGACATCGTGTTCATGTGCTACTCGTCCCAGATTATGATCAACGCCATGGCCAAGCTGTGCAAACAGGTGGAAAAGACCCTGATTACTGATACGTTTTACGGTGGGGATCAGGGAGGGGACAGTTATAAGCAGTTGAATGTCATACTGTCGATGAGGGATAGTATCCGACTAAAGGTGTTGTCGCTGTTTGATCTGAAAACGGTGACAATACTGGCGGTTGTGGGGTATGTCACGAATTATGCCATTATTCTCATACAGACTACCAGTAATCATGATACTAATGTGGCACCAGAGTAAATTATGTGGATTATTGTACTGTATGAAATACATACACATTTTATGTACTGAATATTTTAGGTTTATTGTGTTTAGTGTAGAATTTATTACATTTATATGTTATTTAAGTATAAAATAAGTTATAATTATTCAAATGTTAAGCTTGATAAATTATATTATTAATGTTATAATGATGTTATTGGTAATAAAATTTATTAACTGTTTAATATATTTATGAATATAGAGTATTTAAATTGATTATATAAAATAAAAGTCTCTCTTTTAAATATAATACAGTAGATAATTATGTTTATAATAAAATATTATTAAAACTTGTATTGATTTTTCATTAAAATATAAGTACACATACTGTATAATTTATAAAATGCATTAAACTTTTATTTAATTCATAAAACTAGCGTTAACTTAATATAATAAATAATTAACATATGGATCAATATACTTAATTTATTACAAAACTAAAAATATTATTATATTAGAGAATATAAATTATCAAAAATAAAAATATTTCTAGGCTAACACATAATATTTTTATTTTTGTCAATGATATTTTTATTACATTTTGTCACACAATGCGTAAGAATATTCTCTACTATACTGTTTGCACAGAATATTCAAGTGCTATGCCATTAAAAACCACAGAATTTTATAATAATACAA